GCTGAGGATGCACAGGCCTGGGAGAAAGCTCTTCCCACCACTCTCTTGGCCTTCTCCCACTCTGATGAACTGTGCAAACGCACATCCAAACCCAAGTCAGGCAGCCGGGGATGTTTTCTGCACACCAAACACCTCAGCCTGAACAGGAGCCTGAAGATGCTCTGGATTGCAATTCAAAGCCTCAGCGAATCCTGCATGGGACAGCCAAGTTGTTTGCATGCAGAGGAAATAAAAGTGACCACTTTCAACAGTTAAAACATCAGTGGGAGTTACTGGCTGCTTACAGCAGTGAGTTTCATACAGCGTCCCATGCTTACAGATTTATCAGAAGAAGCAGCTTCCGGTTCCTTCGGTTTGGAGCCCAACTCCAAACGGGAAATTCACGACCGCTCCTGAGAGAGGCAAGTGGAACTTCAGGAGTTCAGAAAAGCGACTCGCTCCCCCGAGTCCTGGCTCGCCTGCCCGAGCACCCGCGGCGTTTTTATACCAGCTCTCTCCCTACTTTACACGCTCTTTTAAAACTAAGGAAGCTGCAAGCTCTGCCTCCAGCCCCAGCCACGACCTCCCCGCGCCCCAGCACTGCCCCCCTGCTCCGGCGGGGACCCCTCTGCTGCGCTGCCCCTCGCCTCGCGGCCGAGGTGGGAGAACCTCCAGGTTTTGTTTCCCAGGAAAGGCTCTGCCAGGCGGCCCCAGCCTTGGCCCCGCGCAGCCCCCGCCGCCCAGCTCTGCTCCGGGACGGCCCCCTCGGGGCTTTTTCCGGGACCCGCTGTTCTCCGCTCACCTCCAGCCTCGCCGCACGCACAGCATCTCCCGCCGTCCTCCACTATGGCCTCTCACCGCCAGGGGGCCGCGCGCCCGACCAGCGCGCACGCGCGACACTGCCGAGCCGCGTCCCGCCCCCCAACCGCGCGTGCCCCTGCACTGCGCATGCGCGGCGGGGCGCGCCCGTCCCCCTTGAGCGGCGTGGGACGAAGGGCGGGAATACCAACGCCGGGAAAATCGATTGTTCCTGGAAACGTCCGAAAGCCACACAGCAAAAACCGGCTTTTTACCTGAAAAGTCATTTTCTCTGACATTTCTGCAGAGCTCCGAGCCGAACGCCCGTGTTAGTGACGGCCAACAGCACGGATGAGACGAGCTCCGCCGTGAGCGGTGGAGCACGCCCCCCTCACACCTGCCCTTTGGAGCTCCGCTGCAGTCCTGGCACTGACAGAGAAACCTGCACGGCTTACCGGGTGCTGATATAAACAACGATACGGGAGGAGGGCCACAGGTATAAAATAAATTAGAAGCATCTGTATTAGTTTATTTCCAGATACAAAATAACTTCTCCTTTTTGGGGGTAATTTTTATTTTTATTTTTAATTTTTTTTAATGGGCACTCTGGACACAGACAAACCTTTCACCAGAAATCATTTAAAAATGCATCCTTTCCGTGAAGAAATTCTTCCTAATGTCCAGCCTGAGGCTATGACCTCTGGTCCTGCTGCTTCTTACCTGGGAGAGGACACCACTGCAAAGGCTGGCCACAGTATCCTTGCAAGAAGACAACCCACAGATTATTGGCAGGTACGTTCTGCGAACACGTGGTGAACAAGTCATTCGGACACTTCACTGAGTGTGGTATTCTCATGCCCCTGGCCTGCTGAGTTTCCACAGCACAAGTCAGAGTGATGCACTCGGCATCGGTCCCGTTCTGAGCTCCTCTGCCCAGGGCCGCCGAGCTGAGTTACAGAGTAGGTGTCAGTGAGAAGAAACTCGCACACCAGGTGGGCAGCCTTGTACCGAGGAGATGCGTGGTCAAGTAGGGTTATCTACAGCTCTTAGGATGTCAGCTTTGTTTTGCCTGCCTTGCTGTACTGCTCTAAAACCTAAGGCAAGAAACTCATCCTTAAAATGAAGACTATTACATTTCTAACCTCCCCGTGCCATTAGTCACCATTAGAACAGAGACGAGAATTACCAGCTTCTGCTGCTTCCAAAATGTTGTACAAATACAGATCACTATGTCCTTCGAGAGCCAAAGTCCCAAAAAGTCTCTGCAGATTCTACTCACATCTCCCACTTTCAACAGGTACAGTCAGGTCCCATTCCCAAGCCTTGCGTCTCGGTCAGAATCACACACAAATGAAGTTTGTATTACCTTTCCTTGGAATCAGTACTTGGAATCCATTCTGTTCCCATTCTCCTTGATTAGATTTCTTTACATGTTCTCTATTTCGTCCAAAGGAAATGCATTGGCAGTGCAAACACAAAGTAGGTGTGATGAGACTCCTGCCCACCCCCTTCCCCAAACAGCAAGTGATCGCCCTGGCATTGCCAAAAGGCCTCCCAAGGCGTTATCTGCACGCACAGGACTCCACTGTCATGTTGGGGTACACCTTCAGAACCACGTTTTTGTTCTCGTCAAAGAATAAGATACTGAGAGAGGACATTTTGTCAGGAACGCAGCAAGGCTCGGGAATGCCCGGGATGACTCCGACCGCTCTCACAATGCTCTGGATGGTGGCGTGGTTGGATGGCTTCATGGCCTGCAAGACAAAGACGTGGCACAACATATTACCGCCCCCACATTGCCATGGATTTACGTACTCTGCAATAATATTGCTTTGTTGAAGGGCCCCGTTGAGACCCCCTCAGCTGGAACATCTGCAGCCAGTGCCACTGCTGAGGAACTGAGCCTCCAAGACAGCTGTACCTCATACTCAAGTGGCATTTTCTTCTGGAGAAGAAACTTCAAATGACTAAGTTTCCTAAATTTATAAAAAGGGACACGGTTGGGTTTGCTCTGAACAGAAAGCAAATCTGCCAGGTGAGGTAGCTGTTTGGTCACAAAACCAGAAACCATTAAGGTGCTAATAAAAATAAAAAACCAACACAACAGAGAGATGACAAAAAGATTTACTCTGAACCCTGAAATGCTTCCTGATCCAAGTATCTGTAGGTATGCACAAGCTTTTAGCCAGGGACTTTTGGTTTGGTTTTTAGAGTTGTTCTTACACACAGAATCTAGGAATCAAAACAGTTCAGTGTGTACCCCAAAACACGTCGCTGACAAATACACAGAACAATGTCATTTTGGCCAAACGTTCAATTTTCAGTTTTCATGCAATGAGAGATGATTTGTTTCTGGGACAAAAAGCCATCCTTAAGGGCTGGATATGGACCTGCAAAAAGCGCAGGAGTAACCATGAACTGCAGCTTGTAATATGGTTTGCACAGCACATTAGTACATGAAGTTTTAAGTCTCCCTCCAAGCTGATGAAAGAGGTTTCTGTTGGTTTGTTTTGAAGTCAACAGTACCTATACTCCTCAGCAGTAGCAGCCAGAGGTTTAAAAACAAGTTTTAGATTATCATACAACTCAGATTTCTGTATCATTTCTGTATCATTTCTGTCCTCAAAGGGAAGTGAAAGCTGTGGTAGCACCCAGCCACTTTTCCTTACTCAGCTGCTGGGCACCATTCTCCCCAAAATAACTGGGAGCCCAACAGCTGTCCCCAGCCTGATGATCACACATGCCAAAAGGTAGCTGTCCTCCCTGACCAGGAGAGCGTCTCCCACAAGCTCTACACCAGGTCACACTCCCAACACGTGGGTTTGACAGCAGTCAAAACAGCTAACTAGAACCAGGGCATGGGTAAAAAATGCAAATCTGGAGGCGGGGGGGCACATCTGTTCTCCATTACTCAGCAGGTTGTTAACTCCAGGAGCTCACCCTCAGCAAAGGAACATGATGTACCCACGGGCACAGAGTAGTCTGTTATTGCCTGAGGGTCAGGGTATCCTTCTGCAAACGCAGTGTCAGTGGTAGCAGATCCTGGGATGCTGAGCTCCAAAGCCTGCCTCTGCAGCTGGAGGTAGGCAAGCCATCTCCCCCTCCAAGGACAGGACCCTGCCTCCCGCAGCTTGCCTTGTCTGGGCACCATCCCCTTTGGTACAATTCTTCCACCCATCACTTTCAAAGGGCGATTGCCTTGGCTCCTTAAGCCACTGAAATTCCAAAATGTATGTTTTGGAACCAACTGCTCTGGCATCACTGTGACAGGAATAAAGAATACTCTGGAATGAAACGCCGCATTGACTCCAGGAGCCCTGCCTTTACTGATGTTCCCTGCAGGTGTTACTTGTGCATGCCCCTCGTTTTAGGCCAGCCTCAAATCCCATGTCCTACTCTCAAGTTGCAGCAGCCTCCAGGGAATACATGTTGCTAATAATGACACGGGACATTTGGAGCAGAGTTCCTCTATCTAGGTCACAGGGCTAGGAGCACATCAGCCTCACCTGCTACTCACATGCAACCAGCTCATACAAACCAGGGGATGTTCTCCAAGTCACTGGGCCCAGATCCATAGCTTTTGGATCCCCTTGGTCCAGTGAATCAGAAGGGATTCACTCAACTTTGTGTTAAGCACAGCTGCCACTGCCTGGAGCTCTCTGCCCTTGGAGCAGCCTTGCCTCCCATGGTACGGGGCATGCCTGGAGCGTGTTGTGCCGACTGCCTGTGGGCACAAGTGCTGCCAATGAAATGGTTTTACAGATCTGGCTCGTATTTGGTTTGTTAAACAGGCTAGTAACGAGTTCGCACATCATAGGCGCTATTCAGGAAACGCTTTATGGCACTTTGGGTTCTGGATGAAAAACTAATAGCAAGCCAATTTTTTAAAATTACCTGTGCAAGCTTATCTCTTGACCAGATGTTCCAACCACCACCCCATTGCTGCGTGGGGCCAGTCTGGGTAGGTCCTGCATCCAAACCCACGCCGGCACTGGCTGCCTTTTACTGACGTGGGAAACAAAGTGCCCGGTTTATGGGAACAGACAGTGAAAAAGAATCAACAGGGACTATACCTTTGGAATTGGGAATTGACATTCTCCTGAGCAGTAATAGGCATCGAAGGACTTAGGGGAAATAATCCACTCGCTCCAGCCGATGTCTGCAAAATCCACCTTGAGGTAGCGCCGGGCGCAATACCTTGGCTCGTTCCACTGCTTCCTCCTCGCCTTCCTCAGCGTTTGCTCATCAAACTGCAGAGTCTGGGTCTTCTGGAGGTGATTCTTCCTTTGCTTTTTCTTACTCCTGGCCCTGTCTGCTAGCTGCGGCTGGAAGGTCTTGTAGGGTTTCCTGCCTTCCCAGCTCTCGTCCTCACCGTACTGGTACTTGGCTCCCGGGAGCTCGTTGTTCTGCAATGGCAACAGGACGTTTACCGAGCGTTTTCTGCGGCCATTAGGGATGCTGCTGCCCCTCGTGTGGCCTTCTGGCTTGGGAAGGACCCTCGCCAGAGGATGAAGGTGTCCTCGCAAAGTAGAGACAACGCTCTCTGGCTCTGAGATAGCAGAATCATTGGCGTAAATCAGGATGTAGGGCTCGTAGGAGGAAGGTGCTCTTTCCCAGGGATGATGGCTGGTCAGATTCATTTTAACACTGAGCAGCAGTTCGTTGTTTTGCTTTGCTTCATGCAGGAGCTGAGTGATATCCTGCCACTGCCAGGAAAGGGTATCCTGGTAAGCCGAGGAGACGTTTATGAGGAAATGTCCCAGGCTTCGAGTCGGGTTCCCAGCTGAAGCAAAGGTCCAAACTGAAAGACCTATCTGAATTTCAGGGTTCCTGTGCCTGTGATGAGAACAGCCACGGGACTGGGAACAGTTCCACTTCGCGTGCAGCAGATCACCAATATAATAATACACCGAAGCTGACAAGACATTTTCAGACTCTGTGAGTGATGTCAAGTTAAAAATGTACATCTCCTGGCCTTCGGGGCTCCCTAGAAAAAGAAATACTCCGATTAGGATATGGGCATCATTGCTGTATGTTAAATGGCAAGTTTTGATCTCCATTTTTATTAAGAATGCCACTTTAAAAACCCTTCCTGTTCTAAACTAGCATACTGTATTGGAAGACAAAACAAACTATTTCTGTTCGTAAAGAAATTCTGCACAACTTGGGGCAGACACAGGAGTCTGTAGTTTTGGGTAAAAGCTAAATTCCAGCAGCCACTTCTGGGCTGTAACGCTAGGCCAAGACAAAGCACTTGCAGTAGATGGTGCTATTTTCATACACAACCACCTCCAAGCTTCAGCAGGTCTGAGTTCCCAGATCTTTCATCTGCAAAATCATCTCAAAAACAGTTACCAGTGGCCAGCACAGACACCTGTGGATTCGCCAGATTCCACCTCAAGAAACCCAACTGCGTGACCTGGGGTTCCATCAAAATTTGGGAGTGCCGGGTCCAGCACGCCCCTTCTGCAACACCGATACCTCGCTCCCAGCTGTGAGCATTGCACTGAACTAAGTGTTCCTCGGGATAGAAAGCACCCTTTAAAAGAACTACAAACACATCTTCTCCTCAGGAAAATTTCATTTCATTGAAATGATACTTTGTCTTTTGGCTCATAGGACACACGCTGCTGGAAACTATTCCAGAGCAAAAGTAAGAAAGAGGAAAAAAAGGAAAGCAAAAGTATCAGGAACCAAGCTACACGCTGCTGCCTTCCAGACATCTTCTGAGGCCAGATTTTAACAGCAGCCTCTGCTCTCCTCTACCAGATGTTACTGCTGGCCTGATGAGTTTTTCAGACCAAGCTCTGCATGACAGAGCTCTTTTGAACGGCGGAAGCTGAGGCACAGCACCACTGCACCATTAGCACTGCTCACTGCTACAGACTAGGACCAGAGGAACTAGGACAACCAGGCAAGATGGGGCCAAAGACGGGGACAGTCTTTTCAGAACAAAAGCAGAAATACACATGTACTTACTCTATACATGTTCTGGCACTCCTCTTCGGGCTACCAGACATGCCAGACTATTTCCTGACAGCTCAAACCCAGCTCCTGGCGGTGCTGCTGAAGTACCTCTACCTGCTGGATCTTAGGGGCATGGCCCATGCTTCCTCACCTCCCTGCACCAACCCACAGCTGCAACGACGGCCTGTGGCTGGCGTTAAAAAAGTATTTCTAAGGAACTGCAGTGGGTCTGTCCAGACCGACATCACTGGCACAAATAGATTGCTGTCACAAGGGGGATTTCAGGCATCAATAAGCTGGAACGAGTCTGCTAACATGTGGTGTGTTTACATTTATAGAGGATGCCCTGACCCTTTTATGGACTGCCAAATCTATCCCACGGGTGAAAAAGGATGCAATACCGAGGACTGCTTAGTTACACAGTCACCATTAGCCGTCATTTAAAGGCCATATTAAAGAGGTGCCCTAGTGCCAGGGCTCAGTTAAGAATGGATCCGTGTTTCCAGTGTAAAACATTTGTTCTCATCGGTTCACAGCCCAGATACAAAACTTCACTTGTAGCTGGAAACAGGAACAAGTTCCTCAACAGAAACAGATTCGGAAACCAGATTTTTCTCTTTGTTCCCACCAACCCTCTTACTAGGCTGCTGCTTTACCAAGCTGTGTTCTGTGCAAAAGGAAAAGATAGGATGCGGTTTTCCCTTTTGGAAGAGCATGGGACCCAGTGCCAAACTGCTTTTACTAATTCTTTGAGCAAAGCAGGTAAGATCACAGCAGCTAGCAACTTGATATATAACAGCAGCAAGTTCACCACAGAGTAAAGCCATCAGCCACTCAAACGAAGAACTTCTGTAGAAACAGCAATGCTGCATATTCAGGATCTAACTTACATGGGGGTTTCATGACACAAAACGCACAAATCTGCACATTGCACAGCCTAAGCACTCTGCACAGTGGCCACCTGATCTCTTTTCTATGTATTTTAGGCAGGAAGACCACAGCAGGTGTGAAAACTAAACACAACATTTAGCTCCAAGCTGGCACAAGCCAAGCAAGCTAAGGGGGTACATCCACAGTAGCACAAATCTGAGCAGGAGAAGAGCCAACCTCACTCTTTCCCACAGCCACAATTTATTGCACTTGGGCTGGGTGGGTGAAAAGCAAATGTGCACAGCCTGTTCTTTGATGCCAGAGACCCTTGTGCTGAAGCAAGGATTTCGAGAAACGGGGACCAGCAGGGAACTGTGAACGCAGGTCACTCGTGTGCATGGCGCTTCTGTGAGACACACAGTGACAAAAGTCAGAAAATTCAAATTCTGGGTCTGGTCCCGAGAGGCCGAACCTACAGATCCTGCCCATCTGCCCAAATCATAGCTTAATGTTGTTCAAGTTCCTAAAAGGTCCAGGATGCTACTACATAGCATTGTATTTATAGGGGTGCAGCAGAAAAAAAACAAAAAACAAAACAAAACAAAAAAAAAACACAGCCAAACCAAAGAAACACACAAAAGAGGGGGGGAAGAAAGTCTCCTGAGTGAGTATTTTTAAAGCCCTTGATGCAAAAAACCCTGGTAACTACTGGTGCTCAGAGGGGCCAACATTTGGGCTGGACTGGTTTCTGCAGGCTGATGGCAGCCGACGAGGCGCTGCTTTCCCTGTGCGTGCTCCTCCACCTCCCCGTCTGCGTGGGCACTCCACACCACAACAAAGCAAAGAGAGGCCTTCTGAAAGGGAGGACAGCATAGTGCTAAAACCACAGGAATTGGCCTAGGGGCAGGTGTAAGACCTGAAATTGCTTGAACTTCAGTCAATAAAAAAAGAGTTTAAAGTAATTTCTCACTGTATAGCTTTACTATAACACCATTAGGAGGATCTTCCAATTAAAGTCAGGACTCATTTGCAAGCCATGTTCCCTAAGTGACGCTAGGATGAAAAATGCATTCAGAAGCAAACCTAATCTGTGTATCTTTCGAGGGCTTTTATCTTTCCGCTCTCTTTTATTTTTCTGTGCTGTGTCTGACCTCCAAATCCTGAGCCTGGGCAGCAACCAGCACACCTCAAGAGGCAGTGCTGCAGGTAAGCAGATTTCTGCCAGCTGGAGGTCAGGTCTCTTTCAGGAGAGAAGTGCTGGATGGGCAGGATCATAGCCTCAGAGCTCCCTTGCCAGAACTGCCCGAGTGTTCCACTGTGGCTCACAGACCACCTGACCTTCTCCCCGTGTGTCTTTCGCAGCCACAGCAAATGGAAAACCACTCGCTCCTGTGGCACCCACAGGTAAAGAATTGGAAAAGGCCTGTCCAAAGCAACACAAGGGGTACCAGAGTCATTCCAGAAACGTCCTGCAACAGTCAGAAGAGCTGCCACAGAAATCACAGGCTGAACATCCCCTGACTCAAACACAGAGAAACAAATTAGAGCAGTTAAGTCCATGAGAGAGCACGGTGCTGAAGTGTAACTCAACACTCCGGAAGACGTGTTACTGATCCTTAGTTCACTCCTCATGGATTTCAGGCCTCATGGATTTCGGGCCTGGGGTTTCTTTTCAGCCTTGTCACAAGCAAAGGTTCTGAACAATTCTGCTCTCGGATAATTTCGCAAGAGTAACAGGAAACAAATTTACCTGAACATTCACCAAAATCAATGGCCAAAACCCCCACCCCAAATAAGCCACCATCCAGCCTAGTTGTGAAGTCTGGTGCATGAGTGATTTCAGGGCAGCGTGGGATGGAGGCATCAAAAAGATGCCACACGGGGCTGAAGCTCTGGTCCCATCCCCTCAGAGAACTGAGCTGCACAAAGACAAACTTGCTTTTAACAGCTATGAGGATGCTTGTTTTGATTAATCCCTCCTAACTGGGTCTTGCTGGCTGTTGGTAAGAGGGCCGCAGCTGCCACATGTGACACTGCTGTTCTTTGACTAGAACAGGGATGAGTTTCAACAAATCCCACGAGCTTTTGGTCTCATCACACGACACTCCAGGGTCTCAAAAATTTGTCTGCTGGGTTTCCTGGGAGATTTGGAAAAGGCCTTTCCCATGTGCTGCAGAAGAAGCAGAAGCCCCTGCAGAGGAAAAGCAAGGACACAAAGGTTTCACAGCTGCATTTGAAAGCTATGTTTCAGAAAAGGAAGAGTTTGTCTCCTGAAAATGTCAGAGTAAATTGCACAGTTAAACTGCAAATGAAACCACTGAAGATTTGCTTCAAGACCTCTTGCTGTAGATGGAGGAGACACAGGAGGATTCTTGGGGAACTTCTGCTCCTAGCAGACAAAAAGCTGAGTCTTGAAGGGGCTGGCAGAGGGAATGGTAAAATGCAAAGGAGCAACAGCAACGGCATATATTAAATTAACTGATGTGTCTCATTAAGGACAAGGGGAAGCCCGTGGAAGACAGATTTGGAGCCAAGGAGTGCAACAGTCAAAGCAGAGGATCTAGAGACAAAGTACCTTGAAAGGGGAACACTTCTGGACGAGCCATTTTCATTGCGGTACTTGTCAGGCAGTTGGGCCCAAGGAAGAAGTCGGAATAAGCCTTTCCACTGCACCCACCACCCTGAGGAACATCAAATATAAGGGCTTTCTGGAAACAGACTTTTCTGCCATCAACAACCACAAAAAAATAAGCTGCTGCTGCTGCCAATGGCAGGAGAAAGACAACAGCCAACTGGTTAAATCTTTTGCATAAATACTTATTAAAGTGTCAAAAAAATTTAAACCATTTATTGCTTTGGCACTTGATCTGTGAAAGTATTGGGAGGAGGAGGAAAGGGATTAGCAAGCAGTGTGTTTATAGGACTGCTGCCACTCAGCATCAAGTGAGAGTATAAATATAATCCGAAAGACTGCAGAGATGGGATTTCAACCAACAGCATTCTAGGTCTAGAACAATAAATGGCTTTAATCAAATATGCATAACAGAGCAAATATTGCTCTGCTGGGATCATTAACAACCTCTCCTTTTGGGTGGGGGGGGCTGTAGTGAATATTATATGCTCCCCTCTTTTGGTGGGCTTAATTCAGCGACAGTCACGGACTGTGTGAGACTTCACACAGCAAGCAGGTGACGGTAGAAAGGCAAGAAAGCTCTTGAGTAAGAGCAGCAGCTGGGAAGCCCTGGCTCTCAATCCCCCAAACCCAGGGTAATTACCCCTCTAAAGCCTCTCCTGTGGACAGGAATACTGGAAGGGCTGAAACCTAAGACACCAACACTCATTCCTCATTTATCTGATCTCTGTACAGAGCTGCCTTATAAAATACATTGCTGCTTTTGAAGAAGCAAGGAAGCCTGCCCCCCAGCTCTCTTTCCTGGGACGGGAAGGACTTGGGGCAAGCCGCTGAAACTCAGCGACAGCTCTCAGTTTCACTGAGAGATGCTTGTCTAAGAAAAAGCCACTGCATCAGTGCACCGGTGTAATGAAGAGACTGGCAAATGGGGCTTCTGTGCGTGGCATGAAAACTGTCCCACATGCAGCAAGGTTTGGGGGTGCATTAGATAAGGGAAGGACATGCCAGGGATGGTCATCTTCGGGTTCTGGCCATTCCATTTAGCCCTTGTGGAGCTCACATGCACAAAAACCAGAAGAGGGAAGGGGGGAGATGCAGCACCAAGACAGTGACTTCTTCAATTTCTGCTAGGATATGGTTCTTTTGAGAGGCTGGCATGTTAAACCCGTCCCCCTTCCCTTATGGAAAACGTTTTTACAATTTCACCTATCTACCCGTGCATGCCAGTGTGTAATCACGGAGAGATCTAAGTACCCCTTCCAAAGACGCCAAGATGAAGCATTTCCGACACCCAGGCTGTGCTTGAACTGAACTCGTCTGCCGCTGCCTTTCACTGTCAGTACTATCACTGCTTGTCAACATGAGAACGCTGCAGAGAGCCTGAAGGATCCCCAAACCATGTCACGGCTCCGTCACGCACAAATCAGCCCTTGGCTCCGACAGAAGCTACACGTGCAGAACACACCACTAACGGGGGAGAAGATCCGCTAATTCCTCCACCTCCCTCGCATTGTACTTAGCCATGGTGATGACAGCGATGCTGGAAGCAGAGCAGAAGCGGCAAGGCTACAATTAAAGTACAGGACTGAACGTAAAACACGGCAGTCCCTGCAGGAAGCGATACTCCTCTAACAGTCTCATTTCTTCCCCCCCACCGAGCTCCCCGGGCACTAACCCCAGGGATGCTCTAAGCCGGTGCTCAGGGAGCGCGGGGCTGCCCAGCGGCCGAGCCCAGCCCCGCCCGGCGGGGCACCCCCCCCTCTTCCCCCGGCCAGGTGCGCACTCACCTGCCGGCAGCGGGCGGAAGCCGCGCACCGTGTTGCCCCGACGGAGCCAGGGCCCGGCTGGTGCCGGCGGGTCCCGGCCGCCCCGGTACTGCTCGTAGAGCCTCAACATGTGCTCCGCCACTCTGTCCGCCGCCGGCGGCCGCCCGGAGCGCCGCTGCCCCGGGCCGTCGTCACCTGCGGCCGCCCGGGCGCGGCCGCCCCGCACGGCCCCCGGCGCAGCCCGGCGCCGCAGCCCGAGACGGCGCGGCCGCAGCGCGTCTTCCAGAGCCAGGGACAGGCAGCCCCATCCCAGGCACAGGCACAGCACCCAGCGGGCCGACGCCGCCATCCCGCCCTTCCGTCCCGGCGGCAGCGCCCGGGGCCCCTCGGCGCGGCCGGGCGCGCTCCGGGACTGCGCGGAAAGCGCGCACGGGGTGTCCTCCTTCTGGAGAAGGAAAAAATGGGAAAGAAAAAAAGGGGGAAAGGCAAAAAAAAAAAAAAAAAAAAGAAAACAACGGCAAAAAGCGGGGCGGAGGGAAGCTGCACAGTCTGGACCGCCCTCCCTTCCCGGCGGGGAGCGAGGGGGTTTATTCCCAGCCGTGCAGGTTGGTGTCGGGGACAGGCGGCGGTGCTGCTCCCGGCACTCGCTCGGCGCTCCCGCTCCGCGGCTCCGCGCCCTGCCGACACCGGGGCAAGCGCGGCGAGCGCCCCGCCCGTCCTCGCTGCGCCGGGGCCCAAGTGCGGGGAGCCGCCACCCCGGGGGAGCGCAGCGACGGCACGGAGGGAGGGGATGCTCTGCGAACTCCATCCCCCGGGCGGATGGCGATGGAGGCGGAGGACGGTCCCCTGCCCGCCTTCACCCAGCTCCTCCCAAAGGCCGTACAATTACGTGATCGCATTTAAAAAAAAAAAAAAAAAAGAATAAAAGAAAAAAAAAAAATCACGGGTCGCAGGGCACTCACCCTTCTCCCCTGGAAAGTCTAAAGGCTCGGCTGGGAGCGGAGCACAGCGCACCGCGGGCAGGTGGAAGCGATGCTCACCGAGTTCTGCCTGCCTCTCCTCAGCACCAGCGACCTCCGGCTTCCTCCCACCCGGCAGGGATTGGCAGAGGTGCCCTCAGCAGCCTGGAGGCCGTGGGAAGAGACGTGCACCCACAGAAATCCTGCACGGGAGGACTCCTCCACTACAGCAGGCACGGCAAGGTGTTCTTGTTCGGCTGAGACAATTCCATGTGCCACCTTGCATTTGCTGTCTTTCAGCACCAAAAGGACAGAAATGTCTCACTCGCCCTGGCCAGTGCCACAGCCACACAGAGCAGCCCAGCATACCCGACACTGTCCCTTACAAAAGGCTTTGCAACAGAGGGGTGCCTCACCTGTACGTGGGGCAGGGAACGCACGGGAGGAGGAACAGGAGCCTCGCCGAAGTGACGCGGTTTGCCCGTGTGCTGCTTCCCAAGACCAGCTTGGTTTCTAACCTGAAGAAGGACGTAACAAGATTGGCCTACAGACCAGCACACGGAGCATTTTCAGCACAGGGCATTCGGGTTCTCCACGGGCTACAGCAAGTGTATCATTATCCAGCCCCAAATAGAACACTAGGACGCTATGTGTTGCCTCCCAACCCACACTGAAATTAGGATCCGTAGCCTGTACTGTTACGCAGTTGTTATAGGCCCATCTGTAACCACGAGAGGCGAGTGAAAGTGAAGATTCTCACCAGCAGAGTCATGATTTTTATATGCTCCTACATTTGAGGGCTCAGATACAACCCGTGGCAGTGACTCATCTTCAAACAGTGCTGAGGCACCCAAGCTGCCATATCAATCTCCAAAAACTATCCATAGATGTGGAAACACACTCCATGCCACTATCGATGCAAGTAGTACCATTACCTCTACTTTTCTCGAAGTAAAAAATGCACATTAGTGCAATACAAAAACTAACAGTAGAAGTAAACATCATTAATAAGCTCATAATTAAAACATTAAAGTATGATTGCTTTTTTTGGTCACCAGTAATAAAACCAATGTGGATCCAAGCAGAAAGAAAACAACATTATTTCAACGGACAGCTAAACAATTCATCACAAGCAGCAGTGCCTGGCTTCTATCCATGGCAGAGCTGTCAATCCCAAAGAAGAATCTTTATGCAACTGGAAATTACCATTTCAGTTTCAGTCACGTTTTTTCCTACTGTTGAAAGAAGCAACACAAAAAAAAAAAAAACCCAAGCAACAACACACCACAAGTTTTGAAATGAAAGCTGAATCCTGTCCTATACCTACAGTGCCAAGTCATTTGCTCAAAGATGTGATCTTTTTCAAATCTCCAACACATCCTCTGAGCAGCTTCCTGACTCTTGCAGCTAAGTGTCTAAAATAGAAAGTTAGCCCTACACAATCCTCTAACAGCCAGCAAAGAGAGAGAAAGAGGACACTGGGTGTGAAACAGAAAGGAAGGAGACTTCTCAGGGCATTAGGAGCCTTCTCCGAATTGCCCTTTTCAAACCACAGTTCTCTGAGCATGGTACCCAGTCACACACAGGGTTTCCAAAATCCCTCACTTTACAGACTGTCCCTGTGACATATCAGGACACGCATTACACGGAGTTCTGCAGCTTGCAGAGTTTGAAAATATCTCCCATTCCATGAGATTTTTAAATGCCAAAGCCTTGTGAGCTCACCAACCAAAACACACCACAGAGCACACGGGGAGCTCCTCTCCACGCCCAGCGAACTCTCACACCTGATCTCTGAGGCAACAACAGCCCTTCTGCGCTCCTCTGCTATTCATTTCTGCTTCTTCCACAGAAGTGCTGCACACCAGTTATGCAGACATATCCTGCCCTTCAGCCACAGCCAGCACAACTCCAGGCCCTAATGGGCCTGAGCAGCTCCATCCTGATCACCACAGTCTCCAGCCTGGGCAGCAACCAGGTCTTTTAATTCCTTAGCCCCAGGCAGATAGCAGGCTTCAATCCAAATCAAGTTTATTTAACTGGTGAGCAAGTCCTGTGCCATTGTGAGGGCCAGCCTCACCACCCTCTGGCAGTCCCTTCAGAAGTGTCATTTAAAACCTCCACCAAAACGTCAAGGTTTTCACTTTTTCAGAGCTTGCCACCGAGCGCACAACCCAGTAACTTCGCAGTTATTTGTCCCCTTCACACAAGCTCTCGGAAGTCCCAGGGAACAGGAAACCACAAATACTCCTTGCGGAGGAAATGAAATAATTACATATTTGCATAACAAAGTGATATTAGCAAAATCTGTTCAGCATGTGAAGGCTAACCCCACACTCGTGCTGCTATTGGCCTGGCTCTCAGCCGTTGCAGAGTTCACTCAGCACAGCAACCTCCGCTGCCGTGGCTCCCGCACCCAGCTCTCCTGGCTGTCATCTGGAGAATCCCCCGCTGCAGCTCCGCCTCGCTGCCTCGCACCAGCCCTCTGCAACATCTGTTTGGCTGTCTCACATGGGCTTCTGTGTGCTCCGCTACGGCAGGGCTCCTGACACCGAGTCCTCGGGTCAGCGACACCAGCTCTGCCCCAGCAGTGTGTTCCCAAGCCCACAAAGTCACCCCATGGTCAAGGCGCGCTGTCCCCCACCCGGGCATCTCGTCTCTTCTCCCTGGGGTCCATCTGCTCTGCAGGACCGCTGTACCCTGGGGTCCCTATCGCTTCCTTGCATCCCTGGCACACACGCATTCCAGGTACACCAGGCACAAACGAGAATACTGAGCAGCACGTCATCCAGCAATGCTTGGAACCACGGCACTGATCCGGCAACGCTTGTAAGCATGCTCCACGGACCTCAAGGCGCTGTGGGGCCTCTCCCGTTACTTGAAATGAGGAGGCATGTGCTCCTTGGCATGTTCCAGCTCATGGTCCCAGAGATGTACGTGGAGAACGGCCTTTCGCGAGGCAGGCCGAGGAGGGAAGCCCAAAGCAAACCTCCTGTGCACAGCCATTCCCTGTATCCCCTGTGCTGGCTTTTCGAGGCTCGCCAGCTGGGCTGAGTGTTTGCTCAGGTGGCGAGCAGCAGCCTTCTCCCTGGAGGGGCCTTCCAGCAGAATTTCTTCTCTCGGGCCCCGGGATCACACGTTTCTCTCACCACAGACAACTTCTGCTGCAGAAGTTCTCCTGTTACAGCAGGAGCTGTAACAGCTCTGCCCGGAGGCGAGCTGAAATCAAACACGCCTTGAGCGAACAACAGCCAAACAACAAGAACGATGTTCCCCTTCCGTGCAAAGCCATGTTCCGTAAACACAGCTCATCTGTGTGGCCACAGTCCGTTCAGCACCTGTGTTTTTGTTTCCCTTGCGGTGCGAACTGCGGCTTGGCCTGCCCTGCTTGTCCCTGCCTGCCTCGTAGAGAACTGCCCAAAGGTTTTAGTCATCTGTAATCTGATTTCTGTGTGTGGAGAAATGGGAGTTAAGGGTACAGTTTCCCCAGGCGCCTCTTTCACAGATGGCCTAAAAATGACCAAACATTTTGTACTAAATAATAACAACTCTGCTGTGAATGTGCTGGTGGCTCAGCAGAATGAAGCTCTACGGCACCAATCTCCTGCCACTTTCCAGCTTCACTCCATGATCCAAAACAACCACCACAACAAGAGATCCAAGTGTTGTTGCAAGACCAAAGATCCAGATACTGCATAAAAAGAACAAAATTATGATTTTGGTGGGGTGCTGAAGAAATAGAAAAGAATTGACAACAGATACAGGCTAATGCAACCTGCAGACCTTAACCGATGCACAGAGCTCAGACGTGCTGCAAAAAGACCTACAACTCTCTCCACTGGTATAACATCTCTATTTCCAGGGATCCACTTGCCCATGAATGCCCAAAATCAGTTCCCTTACGGCAGCGTGCAAACCCTGTACCCACAGTGAACGTCATAATCCTTTCAGAAAAAAAACCTTAGGACACTTCCACACGCCTTATGTTTACAGCAAGAAGTAGTTTGCATTTGTTTCTGCTAAAAAGCCACAGGGCCTAAGAATATACACAGGAAGCCTTCATGTGGTTATCAGTCCTTGGAATGCTGCTCTCTTGATTACCACCTGGTTTGCAAGTCCACTTCACTGGGGTCTGATCAGGGCTGAGCAGCGACAAGGCCTTGGGAACAACACCCAGTGACATTTCAGGGAAGTGGAGTGTAAGGCTGCTAAGTTACTTTTTTAATGCTCTGTCCTGTTGGTCTAAGAAAATCAACCCTTCCTTTAGAATGCAAGCCAGACCACAGAAGGGTCTGGGGACAGATTTCCACTTAGGACAGAGGCCAGAGCTTCCTCCAGTTAGTATTGGCAAAGGATTATAGCACGTCACTCGGGAGCTTCCATTTTGTGG